TTCCCTGCCATCACCCGCTTCTGCAGGAGCTCAGGGTGCCCGGGGCAGAATCTCCTCTGCCTCCGAGGAGCCAAAAGGGCCGTGAAAGCGCCCGCCAGAAAGCACAGGACCGGCTGTCCGCCCTGCACGAAGCATCGGCCTTCTGGCGCCCCAAAGGAAGGCAGCCTCCTTGGGGGAGGAACGCTAGGAAACCCGCCTGCCAGGCGGGGCAGTGATGCCAGCAGGCCCTGGGATGGGGCGAGGTCAGGGCAGGGAGGGAAATGGGGGGGGGGTTTCTCTTTGGGGTTTTCGGTTGTTTCCCTGGTTGCATGGAGTCTTGGTGGGCTCTAAGCCGCCTAGTTTCGTTTTGACTCCAGTGGTTATACAGATGTTTTAAAGAAAGAAATAAGCCCTCACTTAAGGCTTGATCCGTAGATGCTTCTGAGGCCCCAAAGCCCCAGACCAGCTGAGAGGTCATCTGGCCCACCCCTCCGACTGAACGGTCCGGCTCAACCCATCTCAGGGCGCGGGACGGAAACGGCTGGCTGAGGGAGCCTGGCTCTGAGCCTTCACCCCCATTTCCCAAGGCCCCCCGTGCCCCCCCGGTCCTCCAGGAACCAGGTTAGGCTCCAGGACCAGCTGGGCCCCCAGGAGGACCCCCAGCGTGATGCAGGAGGACGGGGCGCAAACGGTGGGCAAGAGAGACAGCGGAATTGCCCCCCCCCGGGTTCCTCTGCAGCTGCTGCGCCAAGAGGCTCCATGGCGACGTCAGAACCCTCTCGATGCCCACCCTCCCAGCCACAGGTGGGCTAGCCCAGCCAAAGGCACAGGTGCGAATGCTGCTAACAGTCCTTTATTAAAGGCTACACTTCCTGCAACAGTGGCACATTCAAGGGGGGTTAAAAGAGCATGTTTGCATCACAGGCACCCACAACAGCTAAGCACCATCTAGAAGCGTTCTGAGAAAGACCGAGAGGCTGTACAACGTCCGGAGGAAAAGGGAAGCCCCCTCCTCTCACCCCCACCGGAGGAAAGCAGAGCTTGCACCAGGCAACGCTCCCTCCGCGTGGCCCACGGTGACCGGGGCCAAGCAGCTCTCGGCAGAGAACGAGGGGCCAACAGCCTGCCGGGGCTCCATCCCCCGGCCTCTCCAGGCAAGTGCCCTTCCTAGACCCTGAGACCCTCGTCCCTGCCTGGCCGCGGCTCAGCCGGGCTCACGGGCCCCTTCCCTGCCTGCCGCCGGCTTGCCCGAGTGGAGGGAATGTGGGGCCAGCCGGAGATTTGGTCTCCTGCCCCTCCCCCAGGAGGCGCACGTTGCCCCCACCCCTTACGCCCAGCTGCTGAAGCAGGAAGGGGTCCTCGCTCCCCCTCCCCATCTGTCCCAGAGGCTCCCTTGGCAAGGAAGGTTCCACGGGGCCCCCACGCCCCTCCCAGGGTGCCCAGGGGAAACGGCTGCCGCTGCCGGTGCTCCGCGCGCGCCTGGCCCAAGCAGTCCGAGACGGAGACCGGGATCATCTCCCTTCTTCCGGGGAGCGGGACTCAGACTTGAGCTTGACGAACTCCTTGGCCACCTCGTCGTTGGTCCTTTGCGAGAGGATCCTCAGAATGGTCATCCCCGTGTCGTCCATGTGGATCCTCCGGCCCAGGGGGCAGGCGCAGGCGCAGCTGCCCTTCTCCACCACCTCCCGCAGCTGCAGCACCGCAATGCCCAGCACCCGGTCCTCGCGGGCAAAGCAGTAGTCCTTCAGGCACACCTGCAGCTCGTAGGCGTCCGGCCCGTCCTCGTTGCCCAGGACGCTGCAGGGGAGGAAGCAGGGGAGGGTCAGCCGGGTGGCAGCGGGGGAGGGGGGTCCTTTGCCCCTGGGGAGGTGCCCTCCGGCCCCTGCAGTGGGGGGGGCTGCCACTCCCTTTAATGTGGCTGCAGGAGAAGCTGCTCCTGCCCAGGAGACCGAAAGGAGGGAGCCGGGCTGGGTGTGCGGAGGAGACGCGCGTGGCTGCCTGCCTTGGCACGGGGGGGGGCACCCCACGGAGGGGGAAGAGCGCCCCCAGTCAGCAGAGACACCCCCGCCCTCCCCAGGAGAGGGGGTCCGGGGCACTTACAAGTGGAAGGTCTCGTTGTACTTGGGAGCCCAGTTGTTGCTCTTGGACTTGGTGGTGAATTTCCGCTTCTTGTCGCTCTGGTGTGGCCCAATCATGGTGACCTCCACGAAGGGACGGAACATGCCCGTGGTCTGCCACTTCAGGTCATGGGCAGCCACCACTGCGTGGACAAAGGGAGCGGGTGAGGCCTCCCCCTCCTGGCCCTCCCCTCCCCACTTATCCTGCGGGTGGCAGGGCCCCTCCTGGTGGGCAAGGAGGCTGAGAGGCCAGCTGGTTACCTTTCACGGTGACCTTGTGCTCTCCGCTGCCTGGGTGGGTGTAGAGGTCCACCTGGATGGAGACTTCCCCCACGGGGCCCTCCGCTCCGGAGCCTGAGGAGGGGGAGGCGGCAATTGGCATCCCTGCCACGGGGGGGGGGATGCTCTGCCCCTCCCGGAGGCTCCGTCCTGAAGCGGCGCTTGGGGACGATGAGCAGAGGCTGCCCCTGCCCGAGGGAGGGGCGTGGGTCTCCGTGCAGGGCCTCCCCCCCCCCCCGGGCCCCCCCTCATTTCTCTGGTGTGCTGCTTTGAAGACCCGGGTTCCAACCGGGCACCCTGGGAGGGGAGCCCCCCAGAGGCGGGGAGGGGGGGCCACCCTGCCTGCCTGGAATGGAGCCCCTTCGCCTGGGACGCTGCAGAAGACGGGCCGCAGGGGCCTGACCAGGAGGGGGGGGCTCCAGGCGGATCTCCGCTGCGACTCCAGGGTGTCTGCTGCCGTTCTAGCCGCTGCAGAGTAAGGCGGGGGCTCGTCCTCTTGGGACCCCCACCCACCCCACTGCAGCCCAGCCTCTGCCTCTGAAGACGCCTGGGGGCCCGGCTGAGTGTGGCCCACACGGGAGGCTGTTCCCAGGTGGGGGGACCCCCCGTGCCCCCTGCCCCCCACACCTTGTGCCGTCTGGGTCTGGACGAAGGTCTTGATGAGGGTGTCGGTGGTCTGGGTGTAGAGCGAGAGCGCATAGCGCAGGGACTGCAGCTCCGAGCTCTTCTCCAGGAAGGCCTTCTTCAGCCCGTTGCCCCCTGCATGGAAGTATTGCTGGGGGGGGGGGGGGGGGGGATGAAGGGGGGCACCTCCTCCCCACCCACCCCACTGCTGTTGCCCTCCCCCCCATCTGTGTGAATCCAGGCTTCCCTCGGGCGGCAGAGCCCCCCCCTTCTAGCCCCCCTTCCTCCTGGCAAGAGCCAAGGCGACTCTGCAGCCTTCGGACCAGGCAGGGACGGGGAGGATGAGGATGATAGTTGCTGTTGTCATCGTGCTGAAGGTTTCCTTCCGTTCCGACAGGGATGCCAACGGGAAGGCCAGGAGCGCCTGGCCTGAGTTGGGCCTGTCTTTGGCCACATGCCCTAAACTCAAGGCTGCCCCTCCCTCCCTCCCTCCGGTGCCCCCCCTCCCCGCTTGGTGCTGGGGGCTTCGCCCGCTGGCCGAGCGAGGGACGAGACTCACTTTGATGGTTTCCAGCGCCAGTTCCAGCACGTCGCACTGCTTGGGGCTCAGGTTCCGCGTCTCCTCCCGGACCATGTGATCCTGAAAGGGGAGCCCACCGCAGGGTCAGCGGGGAGGGGGGGG